CATTGCGAGCGATGATGCGTAACTTTGATAGGAAAACTATACCGCGAAAATGCGGTTCTTGGACATATCCATACCGCAATGCTCTGTGTATTTGTATACCGAAATCGATGTATACCTTCCTCACGAAATTATAGCGTCGCGGTGAAACGTAGCGCGATATTCAACGAAACGTTTGTGTTTGCTGCAAACCGCGGTTGAATTGTTCCAATAATACACCCACGAATACGTCAATCATACCATAGCGATATTAAACAATTGTCCGTTTATAGAATTGACTTGAGGCAAATTATAGTTGGAATTTAAAAAATTTTAACAATCTGCAGAATAGTTTGAAGAAAAATAATAAACTTACACGAGGATTCATATATATTTCATCGCGTATTGTATTATATTGATATGCTTAAAAATAATCGATACTTGTCAAATAACTTTAAGCAAAAATATCTATATGTAGAGAGAGAAAGAAACTATTCTAAAAATATTCAGAATTCCACGCATTTTATTCCTTATACTCTCGCATTTGCGGATTGAAAATTTGCCTCAAGGCAGCATACATCTCTTCCTTTGGGGCTGCAATAGCAATTTGACGCTCATTACTGTACAACTCGACGTCAGGTCTCCAGAGAGGCCGATTAGGTTTCGTTCGTTTCACTCGATGTGCCCGAGGCACATCGAATGCGATAGATGCGGATAATATATCTCGAGTGGCGGAAATTGGTTGCCAAGCGATACATTCGCGCGCGTATACACTTTCAATTGCTATACGATGTTGTACATCCGTACCCTTTTTGCAAATACGACAGACATTCACGCCATGAAGTAGCGCGTAACGTATGAACGGAAGCATAATTCGCCAAGCGACGTAAAATAATATCGACAAGTTGAGAACAATTCGATAATATTACAGCGCAGATTAAAAAGCAACGTCGATATTTTTACCCCTGATTTTCTCTATATTCACGCATAGTTAAATTTATTGCAATTTATTCAGATCAGATAAATGAAATATCTTCGATTTTACATCGACTTTTAGATAACATCACTGTACATAAGTATTATACAGCATGATATTCAAAACTAGAAATACAATGACGGACTAGATGATGTAAAAATAATTTTTCATCGGATCAATTTTGTTTTAACATTTTTAGATTAATTTATAAATTATCAACATTTCCAATAAAAATTCTATTTTTAATTGTAATATTTATACTAATGGAACTTAAATAACGAATCATATTTTTATTACGTAGATTATAAAAATTATATATGTAACGATATGTAAATATATCGTAATTAAAGAGATGTAATGCTCTATCGGTAGCTCGAAAGCCTACATGTTTTTAATATGCTAGCATTAAACCACGTAAGCTAACTTACGCAAACCTATGCAAACCGGCTTATTATTTAATGTATGCACTTCTGTGTGTTTGGAGAACAATTCTCACGACTAACAAATGCATACATGCAAAACATGTCATAACATATGCGCGAATATTTTACTTTTATATATTGCGTTTTATTTCCTGCCAACAAGTATTATTTTCATCTCACGTTACATAAAGATGGTGATATTTAATTACAAAAATATTTAGCCGATATACATATTTAGTTCTTAGCAATCGTTACATATATAAATATTAAATGAATAAAAACTGAAAGAATTAATTAACTCACCGGCCGATGTATCGCTGTTGCCATCTAATTCACACGTAATTCATGTAATCCAATTGTTTTAAATATACTATTTTCAATCTGTTGCTGGATTCGGCACTTTGAACTTATCTCACTTTCGCGATACTAAAAAATATTTCAAATACTTATCATTGCGCGAAACACGTGTTTGGAGATTGACGTCTCGCGACAAACACTGGAACGCGCGAAGCAATGGACTTCGATTGCAAATAACCGCGGTAGACGCGATCGCGTAATCCAGTAGGTAGATCGAGACGATGGTCCATCGCTAGTTTCGGCACTCGCGATTTATGATACTTATCACAAATTGCGCGAAGCACGTGTTTGGAGATTGACGTCTCGCGACAAACACTGACACACGCGAAGCGATGGACTTCGATTGCAAATAACCGCGGTAGACGCGATCGCGTAATCCAGTAGGTAGATCGAGACGATGGTCCATCGCTAGTTTCGGCACTCGCGATTCAGCATGCGCGATGTTGAAAGATATTTGAGATACTTATCACTGCGCGAAACACGTGTTTGGAGATTGACGTCTCGCGACAAACACTGACACACGCGAAGCGATGGACTTCGATTGCAAATAACCGCGGTAGACGCGATCGCGTAATCCAGTAGGTAGATCGAGACGATGGTCCATCGCTAGTTTCGGCACTCGCGATTCAGCATGCGCGATGTTGAAAGATATTTGAGATACTTATCACTGCGCGAAACACGTGTTTGGAGATTGACGTCTCGCGACAAACACTGACACACGCGAAGCGATGGACTTCGATTGCAAATAACCGCGGTAGACGCGATCGCGTAATCCAGTAGGTAGATCGAGACGATGGTCCATCGCTAGTTTCGGCACTCGCGATTCAGCATGCGCGATGTTGAAAGATATTTGAGATACTTATCACTGCGCGAAACACGTGTTTGGAGATTGACGTCTCGCGACAAACACTAACACACGCGAAGCAATGGACTTCGATTGCAAATAACCGCGGTAGACGCGACCGCGTAATCCAATGGGTAGATCGAAACGATCGTCCATTGCTAGATTCGACACTCGCGATTCAGCATGCGCGATGTTGAAAGATATTTGAGATACTTATCACTGCGCGAAACACGTGTTTGGAGATTGACGTCTCGCGAATCTCACTAACACACGCGAAGCGATGGACTTCGATTGCAAATAACCGCGGTAGACGCGATCGCGTAATCCAGTAGGTAGATCGAGACGATGGTCCATCGCTAGTTTCGGCATTCGCGATTTATGATACTTATCATACACTGCGCGAAACACTTGTTTGGAGATTGACGTCTCACGACAAACACTGGAACGCGCGAAGCGACGGACTCCGATTGCAAATAATCGCGGTAGGCGCGACCGCGTAATCCAGTGGATAGATCGAGGCGACCGTCCGTCGTTAGATTCGGCACTCGCGACTCGTCACGTCCGATACTGAAAAAGATATGACATTCGAGACATGATAGATTACGCGAAACATACAATGCATGTTTCATATGTGCATGCAGATAATATGTATTTCACAATAATATTTTGTCATTAATATATTTTTCTAAATAGAATAAAATAAAAAACTGTCAAGAAACAGAAGGTTGATAAATTTCATACATTACAAAATTTTTTAACGCTACGGATTATTTTAATGCCAGAAAGAAGTGGGAAATCGATCACAAGGCAAATAAGAAGGTTGATAAATTTCATACATTACAAAATTTTTTAACGCTACGGATTATTTTAATGCCATGGAAGAAGTGGGAAATCGATCACAAGGCAAATGAGAAGCATTTATTCCAGCGATAATTAACATCATGCGCACTGATATGCTTCGGTCGTAAATTGGCCTGATTTTGTCGCGCATACTTATTAATGTTCATCAGTTATGCCGAATTACCGTCGGTCACGAAATCGAAATACGCGTCTAATACATATTCCCACTTACTTGTTTCGCACTGCGGAAAGAGATTGCGTGCGTCCATAATCGGCAAAATTGTCAGGGCGTAATGTAAGTTTCTCCTTGGATTTTCTGAAACAGTAACAATGCAAGTACAAAATGAATAATTCATTATTTCATTATTCTGCAAATTTATTTTTAATTTTATATTTATTATAGTAATTTTTGTCGTATGCAAATATATATATAACATATTAGAGTGCTTTCTTACATTTCTATCGCGCAAATTTGCTCGTTATTCACATGATTATTCATGTGAGATCAATGCGATATGAGATTGGCCTCTTTACTAAGCTACGTAGGCAAGCGAAGTCGATAAATTTCGCGGCGAATCGCGGTAAGGAACGTCGCAATAATCGAAATCTCTCCAGCAGATGGGATTCGTATTCCGTAAATTGAAAGCGCGGATTTATCGCACGAAGCAGTGCGCATTACGCGAAAGCTTGTTGACAAAGATATCTCATCGTCTGAGTTTGCAGTGCATGTAGTCTCTTTACAACGAGCGAAATTTGTGCAGAAAATGTGAGGGGGGAATATAAATTAGATCATATACTAACATTATTGGAGCATAGTTCATAAATGTACAAATATTTAGTATCCATTAATTACAAACGCGTATCAAAACAAGTGGAATCGAAAACTAACCGAATAATAATGATAAAAAACTTAAACAAATATAAATAAAAAATTGTATACAATCTTATCGATATTATATTTAAGAAATATAAAATTTATGTAAAAAGTTAATGCATAAAATTTATATAAAAGTTGCATAAAAAATTTCAAGATACAATTGGATATATTACCAATAATTTTTAAATACGGGACTTGATTTCGCAATTTCTTTATCGATGCGAGCCTTTCTGCCGTGCATACAGCTGTAAATATCCATATGAGAGATATCGTGCAAGATTGCTCGAGCTTTGAAGAGTAGTCGGGGAGATTCAAATATTTGCGTCTGTCCAGGGAGCACGAGAAACCGGAGTTCCTCGCCTTATCGCCAAAGAGAAGTGAGCTCGGGAAGTGTCAGATCGGGCGGAAGCGGAGGCGCACAGGTCAATCTGGGATATGGGACAAACACCTGGGCCGATTCTAGGCGAGCCAGCAGCTCCGTTTCGCAGGTAACCGTTGCTCTCTTTTATATCGCATTGCTATTTTCCGATCTGCAATGGTCGAGGAATTTTCTTTCCGCCACACGTTACGTCACACGCCCCAGTTGCGAATGTCGTGGAATGCGAGCGACTGAAAGATGCGCTACCTTTCTGGCTGAATGGATATACACGCGAATAATTTGAGAGGATATAACTTGTCATTTATCATTTGTCGTGTAGTGATTACGGCGATGTGAAATGGTGATATTATTTTTATTTTTTTTTTCTTCTTTTTATTAATTATATATTATGTTTAGAAAATATATCGCGTTTTATCAAATGAATTTCCATCGAGTTAAAATTCGATGGAGTGCAGCGCGAAGTCGTGTAGAGGAGTTATTTCCTGTTTTTTTTTTCCTCATCGCCTAATCCCTCGCGCTTGTCTTCAAAGTAATTTTCTTCGTTATTGCTCTAGAGACGTCGGCTTCGCAACACTTTTCCATTTTTATTTTTTACAAAATTCGTTTAAGTTTGATTATAAAAACAGAAAATAAGTTGGAAACCTCGTGGAATAAGTGTTATAAAAAACACGACTCATTTACCCTGAGAGGAATATATTTTAAAATATTAAATTATTTAATCACGCATGTAATATATATAATATAACACACAAAGTTGCAACACTAATTAAAGTATAGAGAAAATATTTCTCTTCCGTATATCACGACTATCTATCAACGAAAGAAGGTCCTCTATTCGAAAAATAACACGAGCTAAAATTGCATTCCGGACTGGTTTTCCGGTGCAGACACAGCTTGGCACGATACGTTGCTACAACGCACGCGAAGTTAAGTAACGATACTACCGGTAGCTACGTCACGAGATTCTCCACGCCTTTATTTCTCGTGCCTTGCCCTTTGCCCTTTGACTCGGAAAACCTTAACGAGTTCAAAAGAATATATTTCTTGTTACGTTATTTTTTATTTCCGATTTCCACGTGAAAAAATTATCAATATTTAAATTAAAAACGTACAGAGTGAGCGTATAAATCTTTGATCAATTTTGATTTATTATATATACAATTAAGTTGATTAAAAAAAAAGTATATATAAAATTTATTCAAGAAACAAGCGATGATTGATGTGCTTTGATTCGACAATGAATAACGAGTTTATTATCCAACGCTTGTTCAAATTATTGAAATTTGTTATAAACACCTGCTAGACTATTTCGTGATGGAAAAATTAGAAATTGTGTGCGGGACATCAAAGGTATGGGCGTTCTCTGTTCGTGACAGCTTAAATTTCTCCTGCACAGATCACATCCGCCGCTTATTTCTCGCGTGAAAAACGTGCTTGAGACGTGGTGCATGCTACCCGAGGACCTCTCAAAAGATCAATTCCGGACGACGTAGAACGAGAATCGGTGAGAAATAAGAAACGTGTCAGCAACCGTTCGGCAAAGCTGCGCTCGCGCTTTTTACGATAGCTTATTGAATCCACGTTGTACGAGTGGTAAACGGAATATAAATTGATCTTTAGCGCAAAATCTGCGTGACGTTTCGAAAATTTCCGATATTAATAATTAAAAACTGTAAAGCCGAATTTTAAAACATGAAAAGAGTATCATCTCCCATTTCTCATTGTTTGAATTACTTTATAACTCGTTTTATAACAACACCGAGTTTTCATTCATTTAGAAAAATGTGCCTCCCTTCAGAAGAATTTTTGAGAAATCTTCGAATCATCTTGCATCGCTTTTAAAATCTGGATTTTGCTGTTAATTTTTCTTTCTTTCTGTATTACGAGCGTGTTGGTTAACATGGGTTCCTCGCTCTTGCTCCGTCGCTAATTGGATTACTTTGTAATCAGCAAAATGCAGACAAAGTAGTACACAGCACAGTATACTAATGCAAAGTAATGAGGATAAAATTAAAAAAAAATGAAAAAAGAATATTACTGAAGTAAAATTACAATAAGGTAAAGGAATGCGAAAGCTGGAATACGTCCGTTTATAATTTTTGTCAAGTCATTTTTATGGTAAAGTCTAACGCGCATATATGTGTGATATTAATCCGAATAAACTCGCCAGAACAGAATTGTATTATGTTACGAGAGGAAATCTGATTTGAGTTGTCCTGTGTGCTTTCAGCTTTCAGGCGACGAGTCACGTCGACTTTGCGCCAGCGGCGCGAAGGTACCTGAAAAGGGCAACACGGAAACCGCAAATCTTGGTGTGGCGACATACGGCTCGGTCGTATTCCAATTAAAGGACGCCCATCTCGAGGCAAACGGTATCTGCGATTTCGTCTTTCGCGCCTTGAGAGTTATCAGCAAGACAATGACGTTCACCATATGTCTCACCTGTCTGTCCACTGTGCCTATCTTGATGTTCATTTTTGGTAAGTAAAGAGACAGAGATGTTTAATATCGACGACTTCGATTATAATCTTGGTCACGCGAAAATCGAAAGATCTTTGACCGATAATTGACCACGCATGGATAATTTAATTATATAAAAGTTTTCTCGAATAGCATAATGAATATTATATAAGTAGTATGGATAAATGGGTCGAAAGAGTTGTTTCACCGAGGCTGTTCTCGACAGTTCGATCCATTTTATATTTCCGCTTAGACGTAGCAGATCGATATTCAGTATACATATATGTATATATTTAAGAATTAACGACAAGTTCTCGTGAGACTCAGGAAGGTGATATAGCTTATCTCTACTCTTTGATCTTCATAGCACTTTTTAAAATTCAAATACTGCCAATGTATCACTCTTTATTATAACGCTATTTAATATCCTTTCGTCTTGTTAGTTTCCAATGCTATACCTTCTCAATATTACTTTTATAGATTATTATATGAATATTTTATATGCGAATAAAAAGAGAGATAGCAGATTCAGTTCATTTAAAAAATGATGAAGAATAAATGATGGAACAAGATGTTCTCCTTAACTTTCTTCATGTTTTAATAAACTTTGCGAAATTTTCCAGCCTTTTTTCATGTAAATTTCCCTTCATTACATATCTCTCGAGAATTGTATCTCTTTTACTAGCCTTTAACTTTTCGCAAGAAACTATCTTTATATATCCGATGGGACTAATTTCAAATATAAAAAAAATGTAATACCCATCAGTACTATGATATTAGTCTACTATTCTTCAATTACTTTCTGAATTGAGATTGGGTCAAAAGTATGGAGTCTCTGATAGTTGAAGATGATTCCCAGTAATAGTTTATGTGGAAAACGTGTTAAGAGATTAAATCCTTTTTCCAATATCCTGCTAACACAAATATTTTGTATCACCGTGAATGCGAAACAAACCTGGAATTTTATTGGGACAAATAAGTAGAGAAATTTTTTGCATAACATATATATTTATGCGTAATTTAAATATACTCAATTTTTGTGCAATGAGTTTTTTTTCTAAACCAAATAAATTACGGTACCATGCAGCAAACGTACATTTGCTTTCCGGTCGGCTTGAATAACAGAACTCGAAATTCCACGAAATATTCGACATCGTTTCCGAGTTAATTAATGCTGCCACGATTACGACACGCGAATCGCTAGCGTGTTGAGCTTACTGCATGCAAGCATATTTAATTTCTCGACTATTCGCGCTACAAGGGGCATAGACGCTCAACCTGATTTATTCAGGCTCGGTGCATTCACCTTCCGGCAAAGTCAACCCGGTAAGAACCTGCAATCGATAATATAATGGCATAGACTAACCGCAAAAATGGCCGTAAATTGCCGAATAAGACTTTAATCTTTTATGAATCACGACACAAAAGCACGAAGGAGTTACAAAAGCCTATACTGTAAAACTTTGATAAGGCACTTCAAATTTTAGAATAACGTAAAAAAGAGACTGATTCGAGGAACAATGTGAAGCACATCGAAGATTCAATGTGTTAGAATGCCATTAAGAAAATTACTTCATTATCTAACCTGGTTTGCGGAAGGAGGAAAGGAAGCAATCGACGTATCATAATTGTCGATCGCTTGTTTTATACGAAATTTGATCTAATCATACAATTCAAGTAGTTCGTAAACCGTATTTAAAGACATTTAAACCGGAGTTGAAATGATATACATAATCGCCTTGAAGTTTCTCTCTTTTTCTCGAATAAAATATATAAGTGTATGTGCACATAATTTTTTAATTACATTTTATCTCTGCAACAATTATCGAAATATTTATAATAATTGTATTGATTTTTTTATTATAGCTAGAATATACAAGATAAATTTTTCAAAAAAATGATACAGATTATGTTACAGCAGAAATTTAATAGTTCACATATACAAGATATGCATAATAACGATGTATTCAAGGATATATCGTAGTGGAGAACCTCTTCATGTTTGCATGTTATGTTATCCTAAGTTGGACGTCGAATCAGGACGTGATATACAGGATAGACGTCAGGCAACACGCAATTAATGCTAAATTATTCCTCGCTGGCGTTACAAAAAGCGCATAATAATGTTGTACGTCATATATATATATTAAATTTTAATTGATGGGCATGAATATCGATTAAGAGATGTTCTTCTCTTTTCTTTTCGAAAGTAATAAAAAAAATAAGTGTAGCGTTAAGCAAATTATTTGTAATATGTTATTGCTGCTTGGTGCTCAAATTATAAAATAGAGTATTCGGGTCACAGATATACAAGAACTGATATGAAAGGAAAACGTCATAAAAGATTCACTAACAAGGAAGGTTTCAGCGGGAAACCGAGAGAAACAAAATCGTGTCACCAATTATCACATTTACTGCCATACATATGCATGCGATGCGACGTATATATATATTATAAAAAAATTTCCTGATTTTTGTATGGCAGATTTTTTTTCATATCGTAGCGAATGCATCGAATCATGTTTAAATTTATCGTTGTAGGTGTGCAGTTCATTAGGGATTGTCCGAAAGAGCCATACATCCCTGTCTACATGCTGATCGGAGGAGTTCTGGGCGCCGTGCGCATGTTATGGGCGCTTTATTCGCAGATACGTTCCCGCAGGCCGGAAGTCCTGTCCGTTCCCGCAACCACACCATACGTCTCACCTACGAAATTACTCTCCATAGTCCTATCGTGCTTCCTGGTCGCATGGTTCGTGTTAGGTAAGCAATTTGAAATTTCGTTCGGAATTATACGCGCGGCATTTTATACATGCCGCGCCAGCAGCATCCAAACTTTCCGAGCATAAAGCCACAGAGGATTTACTCAACAAGTGCAAAGCCGTATTACGAAAATGTATTTTATAATATTCAATTGCATGATTCCATAATTACTTTATTCAAACCTGAATAAATGATAGGAGATTATCACTATGCAAGAGCAAATTACAAATGATAAAAGTAACTGCATTTTTTAATAAATTTTTGTTTAATTTTCACTCTTATTAAATTTTTTCTAATTATTTTATATTAATTATTCACATTTTGTATTATTTAACCGAGTAATTTAATTTTATGTGGATTACAAAAAATCCACTGTTATAACAATTTAACCGTTCGTGACCAGGTATCGTGGTGCAATATTTATATCTCGTGCATCGCGCCAATTTGTCGCATGGCAAAACGCGACAGTTCGTTGGTCGGAGTACGGGACGTAATCGCAGGTTACTTAATCACAAGCACTTGATATGTATGCCACGTAATTCCGCGAGGTCGTTACTACTTCCAAAGTTTTTGGGTCGAATGCAAGAAGAAAGTTTTGGTTGAATTTGGAAACGAACGAGCGAGAAAAATTTTTCTATGCGTATTTCAAAAGAAATATTCTCTTCAATATGGAGTTCCTATATCCTTTAATAAAATTGATAACATTCTATTTGACTCCTTTATGTTTTATTGCTCAGACTTCAGAAGATGTTGATTCGTACGTTCGTCATGTCGTATGCTTTCTTCTTTTCTGTTCCAGGACATTATTGGATACTGCATATAATGTGGCCGGAATACAAATTTTCGTTGTACACGCCCAATCAATGGTGTCACAAAACGCTCTATATTTTTTCTTTGGTTCATCTGTGCGTGGTGTATGCGATTTTATTTGTAATACTAATAATAGCGATCGGTCTGGCTTTCTGCAGAATTCTGGAATGCCCTTTACCAGAAAGGTAAGTTGCTTTTTGGCGTATTCAGAATATCTGCTTTACAGGATTTGTTCAAAGAAAAAAAAAAAGATCAATCACGTTAATTAGAAGCTGATAATATTAGATTTATTTTAACATGATATCTTTAAAATGTATAAAAAATTTCTAGTCACAAATTATTTACAAAGACTTATATCTTGAATTATATTTTCGTGTATAAGTTTTTGTAAATAATTCGTAAATTTCTCTTTTTATGAATTGCAGATATAGAAAGCGACAATTCCAATCAAGACTAATTTTCCTAAAAATTCTCAAAATGGGAGAATAACTCACAATTAGACACGTGGTTCGAATTTTTCTTCGAAAATACGACTATGACTTATAATGAAAATAACGTGCGATGTTAACTAATTTTCGTAGAATTGACGATGGAAACTATTTTACGACGACGAATACGACGATGAAAAATGTTTCATCGACACCGCGTTTCAATTTGCTTATTAATACTCGATATATTTGTAAAGCCGAGTAGCACGGATCATGTATCGTATATATGCACACAGATCATGTTCCTATCGTCAACGAATATTTCGCCCATAGCTTGCATTGCATGTTTAACATAACAACGTGATTAGAATATTCGCGGCGATTATAAAAGATACAAGTTAAAAGACTTCGCATATAATACCTGTATCGCGATTTAGCCGTTTTCTATTCCGCACATGAATGATACACTCGAAATGCCAAATGCTTGACTCGTCGAAATCATTGTGCGTGTGATAGCGCGTGCTATCTAATTGCTATTAAAACTATAATCGTTGAAACGATATATATATATATGTATATATATAAAGTTTCGACAACCTTTCCCACTCGATCTATGTCAAAGCGATATAGAAAGCTATATTAAAAAGTAAAATGAGAGATAAAATAAACTTTTTTTATACATAAGGCGACGAACTCCCCCGCGAGATCGATAAGAGCACACTCACGCTCCAAAGTGCTCCCGTTCTGGTCGACTTTCAGATACAAATAACCACGGCGATCCGTTCGCCAGAATAAAATCCGTGAGAAGAAGAAAAAGACGGCCGGCGGCAGGGGCGGTGGCTGGCGTCTAGACAGACAAAAGGTCTTGGAGGACCTGCAGGAGGAGGAGGACGACGACGATGACGAGCGGAGCGACCACGGGGAGGATTACGGTGACAAGATCGTGCAGGAAGTGAAGTACTGCAGCAAAGTGCAGTTTCGCGCGCCAGATATCATCGAGCTATGATGAAAAGCGATGATATAACAGAAGAAACGCGAAGACGCGTCTCGCTGCCGGTGGCGAAAAAACTCGGGAGAAAGAGGCTCGTAACCTTAAGTTTGCCACGATAACGAGGAGGAGACGTTGGCCGCGGGGGCAGCATTTGCAACAGGAAGCTCTTTGGGATGAGAAGAGAAACGTATAACGAGGTCACGAAAGGCAAGGTATCGTCGGAGATCGATGATGGTGTATCTTTTGTGAATAATCAAAGTCTCGACACTGGCACGTACGAGAGACTCCGGGATAGAGTCTTCGCATTTTCCGCAGTGACGATTTACGTGACGGAAACGTATCGGCGGGGATCCGAATCGATCGCAAAGGAATTAGTCGTTTGACGAAGGTAATGGAATCTATGGAAGCATGTAATTCGAATGTGACTCGACTCGTTTATCCCAATTAATTTGTGGAATGTGATGTGGAAGAAAAGATAGTATGATTGATATTTTTTGTAACAACATTGTGTGTGGAACAATACTAAATGCATGGTGATATAATTTTTAGCAACGATTATTTTTCAAAATGTATTAAAGTTTTAATATCATATTCAATCATCTTTAATCTCAATTTTGAGTAAATCGACGTGGAAAGTTCATGGTTTTTCGACTCAATCGTATTCATAGCAGAAAAAGGAAACGGAATGAAATTTTCATTGGCGAAAGAAGATTATCCAAAAATCTTCCTGTAAGAATAATATGGAGCACGTCTTTGCCCCGGTTAAAGAAGACAGAAACAGAATCCCCAAAACGCAGTAGTTTCGATTTAAGCGTATCTTAGCTGCGGTACAGCAAGGAAATCGATACAAAGACCTTCACTCGTATCAAAACAAGAATCTTCAATTTCGCTCTTACAAAAACAACGCTTTTTTTTTACACGAAATTAAATGTAGGAATCTAAAGCACGTAAACAATCTGATTGAATTAGCATGATTAAGCCGTACATTCCTTTTCTCCTGTGAATGTTTGTCGAGGAATTCTACATCGTTACAATAGCGATTGGATGCGAGCGATTTGTTCGAGAGAATCATCGATCTTCCGATTTTTTTAATTCATCTCAACGGAGGAGCTTATTGATTTTCTTTTGTTTTTATCGTTTAGCTTCCAGCAAACAAGCAAGCAACTGTTAAACATGTTTCTTCTTACTTTATACCATATACAACTTTGAAAAGTTGATGAATATTTCCGAATAAAATTATTCCGCAAGATTCCTTTTGTGTAACAGCTTAAAGGTCTCGAGCACGAGTTTCATTAGTTCCCACGTAAATCCGCCCCCATGGAAAACGCGCCGCGTTTTCGAAAACTCGTCGAACCACGTTTGAAGATCACGCAAAGTTGAAGAAAATTCGCGAAAATTCCACGATTACAGTTTTACCGGTTTAATGCCATCCGCAAAGTTGCGGTTCGCCCAAACGCGAAGAATACGCAACTTTCCAAGTTACTTATTTTCGAAGCAGAAAATTGTACGGAGGAGAAAACCGCCATGGGCAAAAGAATGAAGCCCGGTATCGACTTATTGAACGACGTCGACGTCGGCGTCGACGATGACGACATCGACGAGGACGACATACTCTTCTACTGACCGAATCGACGCGAAATCCACCCCATCGAATCAAGTCTGGCAAAAGTAGTTACAGTAACTGCGGCAACTGCGTTCGCTCAGTGACGGAAATAATATCGAAATTTTGCTGTCCTGTTTACTCGATGCTCTCTCTCTCTCTCTCTTTTGCGCGCATGAAGGAATAATATTCATGCAAAATTTTGCATATGAGAAATATGGAATTTAATGCTCGCTCGCTGCGATTCGTCGACATGTCAAAGCTTTCAATCGTTTCTCGTTATCTCTCGATAGTATCGAGCGCTGAGAAGGTAAGTGGATCTGATTAAGGATACTTCGATGTAGGATGAAAGTATAAAGTATATAAGAGACATTATTCCTTAATTTTCATTATCTTTTCTCATTTCAACATATTACGCATCGAGTCTCAAAAAGAATCAAGCACATTTCAAAGCATGTAATAACTATTAGCTGTGTATTATCAATTCGTACGCCAATTATATAATATGATCAATTGAAAGTCAGTATTTGTTCTGAGTGAAACTTGTCGACCGTCGAAGGCATTATAAATAGGTTTTTACACACCTACTACATATCCATGCACAAATACAAGAATACTCTCTCACATACACACAATTTTTTTAAAAATATTTGTATCGTCGAGTGTGATATTGTTTTTAGTTTTTTTCTCATTTCTCAAATTTCACGACATAATGATATAAATAATATGATTCTCGTGTTATATCATTCAGTAAATAGCGTAATTAAAAATATAAAAGTTAACGAACCAAATTAAATAAATAATATCTAATGTCCTCGCTGAAACTCTTCTACGTCGGTGCAATGCTCAAAAATACTTCTTTTCGAATCCGATAATTAAATGTTTAAAAAAGAATTTCTTTTTCTTTTTATTAAATCTCGTAACAAAAATAAAAGATACGATGATGTATTGCACGACAGAAGTATAAGAATGAGAATTCAGCTCGGGCAAAAATGAAATTTATCGATCATGCTGAGTTTATAGGAAAAAGATAGACGATAGAATAATAGAATAAATCAAGTGTCGAAGCTAAAAAAATTTCTGGTTCAAATAAGATGTAATAACTGATGAGATGGCCAGATGAGTTAGCAAAGTGGGTTAAATTGGGCGAAAGTGGGTCAATGAGCGGGTTTCTCGGTAAAAATGCGATTTACCCTACAATCCCTTTTATCCGCAGCTACTACGTAAGAGAATCTGACGTTATAAAAGTTGTTTAACGAATTAAGCATATACGTGCAAATATTATTGAACGTATACGCGCGCATAGATATATCGTTGCTCTAATTATAAAGAAATTTAAATCACAAAATATAAATTTTTCAAAGTTTAAATTAATGTCCTTGGCTTTTAATATATCTGCTGCAGTATATAAAACTTTTAGACACAGTGACGATTAATCTTAAACTTACGAAATTTATCATAGTATATTCGGTGCTCGTAAAAAGTAAGTTAATGTTTTAATAATAAAAATAAACATCTCTAAATTTAAAAGCTTTATAATTAGGCTGACGATATATTTCATTTTGTCGACCTACCGTATGATATACGTTATACACGCGTCTCGAGCATCCTGCGTCAAGAACTTCGATCCAACTTGTGTTATTCTTTTGCGATTACGACACGACCGATCGCATCTCGATGCTCTATTATGTGAAATGTCTCAAAGAAAAAATAGATAATAAGGGTGGCGGGGGGAAGGAGGGCACAATGCGTCAATTAAATCAACACATTAACAAGCTTCGCTTTAAGCTAAAATGCAACTCTAACGAGGACTGTTTTTTGCACAAATACAAATACCGACCAATATGACTGTAGACATATAAAGATCGAATATATGTTAAATAAATTTTTCCCGTTTTAACGAAATTATTTAATGAAAGATTCATCGCAAACGCGTGAATTTGCTCATATTTAGCATTGCGATAGAAAACATGCATATTCATGCGCACAAATATTTATACGTTTTGATAAATATAACTTTTTATACTATGTAAATGTTTGAACAAATAATTTACATTGCTTTTTATACAGAAATAAAGCAAGACTGCATGTTAATTATGATTTATGATTTAATTGTTCTTTATGTATCTATAGTCATCATATCGGATTATACGAGAAAATTCGCGAAGCAAATGCTTAAGCAGACGAAAGCAATTGTATTTATTTCTATAACACATACACACATATTGTGCGTGTAAATATAGATATACTTTTACGCACGCGAGAATAAGAGTAATTTCTCCAACAAAGATTTGACCAAACGCAGCGATAGATGATCTATGTGAATTAAAGTGTTTCAATGGTGGTTAATTTTACTTTGTTGTTCTTATGTTTGCACTTGCGACTGGTTCGAAAACGGGTCCATAATTAATCGTCTATATACAGAATAAATAAATACAGTAATTGTGTCGTGATTAAGGCTGTAGCTCAACTCGTCAACGTATGTGTGACCGTAAAATAAATCTCCACTGGGAACGCGCCTTGCACGATATTTCCATACTCGTCCATATTCGTTTACCATTATTTCAACGAGTGAAAATTCTATTCCATTTCCAATCAAACGAACACCAGGAAACAAAAATACATTTTTGTATTGTTCTTTACTTTTTCACATTGACAATTGTTGCGTAAAAATAACTTATGTATTAATAATATAAAACACGCGAAGAAAATATAAAATAATTATTCTCTAATATTATCATCTTTTAACAAAAAATAGTTGAAATTGTATCGATTAATAAATCGAAAGCATGGTTCGCTTATTTTGAAATATTTTATGTAACAAAATATTTTTGAACAAAATATTATTCCTAACATTTTCTTCATAAGAAGAACATTTTGTTCCTTGTAAAATGAAAAAGTCTTCTGAAATGATAAAACCCTTTTTTTATGTGTGCTATATGTTGGACAATGGTGCAAAAATTTCAATTGAGATTGTGATAAATGACGATTGAATTGAAGTTTTGTCTCCATTGTAGAAATGCGATTTTTATCACAGCTGGTTTCGTAAAATGGCTATATGTTACAGCCAAACGTGACAGTTATGGACATAAATCATATGATGGCCACAAATACGTGCCTATACATATAAAACTCACGTGTAAGCAAACTCTAAACAAGTTTGAATGCATGAATGTTTGAACGTGAGAATCCAATTCCAAATAGGAACGTAATTACATTGAGTTAAATTAACTAAATATCTCTATGATTGATAATTATTATAAAAACTATGTGCGTTGTTTTTGTATAGTTCATCATAGCAAATGTGTCTATAATATCTGATATTACCGAACTATATCACAATGTTACATTTAACGTGAATGAAAGTCGCATTGAGTGTTGAGTCCAGTAAAAATAGGGAACTTTTAAAAATCGCTGAAATTGCGAAAATATTTATCAGTTTTGTGCATATCGGGAAATTGTATATTGATTTTTATAAGCGAAAATTTAATGGCCGTTTCACACTTTTGTAGTATCTATGCAGTATGTAGTATTTAAAGCCACGACGTAGAAATCATGGAACGAAAAAAGGAGAAAAAAAACACGAATCGATACGATGTGCTGTATATTTACCGTGCCCATTGAATCGCGTTTAACAGAACTAATTTGAAAATTGAAGAGTTGAATTCGTTAATAAAGCATGTAAATTTATACAAGTAAATATAAAATCAAACTTTTATTTAAACAATAGATATTTATAAGTGTCTTTTTTTTTCGTAAAAAATTCAAATCATGCGAGCCATGCATCGATTGATTATCGAGAGATATAACTCAAAACGCTTTATATATTTCATATAATATAACGTACGTTAATCCTCCCCGCACTAGCGAAAGCCAGATCATCCATTGGTACTACGTTCACAACATTATGTGCATTTGCAAGAGATAGAAACTTATTACAATGCCTAAGTCGATAAAATGGCAAGATATATGATATAATGAGATATATCAGACGATAGATGATATTTGTCGTGATAATTGCGCGAATGTGGCGAACTCTGTTACTCGAGAACGAGTTGGCCAGCGGGACTTTGTGATAATCGTATATACATACATATGTATATCGAGCGAGTAATTTGGAACACCACCGAGATGAACAAATCTCGATCCGA